TGCTTTCCGCACTAAGTCACCCCCCCTTCAGAGCACCATCACAACACAATCAAGTGTGCGTCCCACTACTGAAACTACAGCACACCTCATCAGCTTTGTAAAGTTGTATTGGAAGTGTTTTGTATCGTGTTTTTGTATATTTGTGGAGAATTGTGTAATCGTGGATGACATAGGCTTGTGGGCGGAGCCTTGTACATGATCGTACTGCTAACCATAAGGAGGGTTTGAATAGGGCTCAGGAGAGATCGCTAAATGACTTAAACACCCATGGATGGCATCTAAAACCTATTAAGGCGTATTCTGATGAGGGAATGTTCTAACATAGAAACCTCCAGAAAGTCCATTCTACAGAATACCCCGCTCTTATTTATTTTTATGACAATATATCTCAAAGTCTAAATAAATGATCCAGTGAATAGTTTGAGTTGTAAGTCCATTTGTTCTGAATGAGCCTGGAATCCAAACAGACGAGAAGCCCCTGATAAACCTCTGCTGATGGAGCCACTGTCACTGAACACACAAAACTATTTGAAATGTAAACATATCCATTCTCAGCCTGATGAGCCCAGTCACCGTCTCATCTTCAGTTATTTGATCACACACTGGGGAGCCTACGATAGACGACCATTTCTTTCCATGGCAACACTGGACATGGAAAGCCTTGGTCGTTGCATATGTCTAAGAATATGACGGGCTCTTCCTGATGTCCCCCCCGAGCTTTCCGCCGATTTAAACACGAGACACGACATGACTCCACAGAAATGACCAGAGGCAGGTAGTACTTACTTACATTTACCTGTTAACTTTACTTTTTTAGCAGCATATTTTTATTCCTACTTGAATCATATTTTTATAGAGGCTTTGCACCATCACGTGTCCCCATGGCAACGGTGCTTACACCACCATGACACTGGACACACTATGTCATTGACTTCAGCAGCATCGGAGAAACATGGGCAGGTTTTGTTGTGTATTTGGTTGTTCTAGACGCTCTGAAAGGGATAAAACGAATCGTTTCTTCACTGTTCCTCTGGATATGACTCATCAGGAGCTCAAACAAGGGAATTATCGAAAAAAGACAGGAATTATGGCTCGAGAACATAAACCACAAAGAGATTTCCAAAGGTACCATCAAGACACCTGAAGTTTCATCAAGGTATTTGCTATTTAAATTGTTTCATAGTTTATTTAATGAGAGAAGCACATTTACTGAACTAAAATTTCATTAATTTATCCAGGAAAACCCGCACTAGTTTATGATTCAATGAACCCACATCCTACCATCAACATGGTGCACGAGTCGAAGAGTCTGTGAGCCGAACCTCGAAAGAATCAGCCATGAAAAGATCCTCGTGAACGTTAGAAAGATCCACTCGCAAAAAGATGAGTGACATATTTATATGTGCGTTGGAAGATACAGTTTCGAATGCCACTCACACTGCAAATGTTTTCTTTTTACATTTTAGTTCAGTAAATGTGCTTCTCTCATTAAATAAGCTATGATCAATTTAAATAGCAAATACCTTGATGAAAGTGACGTGAGTGTGTCTTGATGGTACCATAGGAAATCTCTTAGCGGTTTATGTTCTCCAGCCATAATTCACGTTTTTTTCCCGATAATTCCCTTGTTTGATCCTGATGAGTCATTTCCAGAGGAAAAGTGAAGAAACAAATACTTTTATCCCGTTCAGAGCATCTAGAACAACCAAATACAATCTCATTTTTGTCTCTCATTTGAAGATGGTGAGGCACAAATTTTAAGCAGAAGAAATTCTTCTTTTTGAACAGAAATGGTGGATAGAGGTTTGAAGTGCATGGACAATGACCACATCTAGCCAATCAGATCTTATTCAGGTAGTGAACACTGCTCAAGGTGAGACAGACGACACACAATAGGCTCCGTTCACGCTTCTGTCACAAACCAGGAAGACGTTTGGAAAGACACAATTACAACTTCCGGTGTAGTTCCCGACACTGGACACGTCGCCCGACTGTGATCAAACCCACTGAAGTAAATGAGCACAGAGGTAAAATGAAGACTGCAGATGTATGTGCTGTTTGGAATCATCTGGAATCTGGCACCTCATCTCTTCTAATCACATGTACCCGGTGCACTCGGAGTTATGCGTCAGTGGGGAAATGATGAAAACCGAGGTGTGGCTGTAACTGTTGATTAGCTGAACATAACGGAACTCTGCAGTGACATGGAGATGAAGAAAACTGGGCCTGGGAAGTTGTAATTGCATCTTTCTATGGAAGATCATTTGTTCCGTCAGATTTTGAATTTTAAACATCACAGAATTTCTCACTTTGAAATTTTTTACTCTGAAAAAAGATGTTTGAATTATTTTTATTCAGAATTTTAGTGGCTGAAATTTACTTTCAATTAAAAAAAAAAAAAAAAAAAAAAAATCACAGATATTTTCAAGCCCTCAAATTCACCAGTCGAAATTCAGAATGTAAAATTCGCAGTGAAAAATTTCACAGCAAAGATCCAAGATGCCAAGGCAGAAGCATCGATCATGTGGCAGTAGTTCAGTTGGTAGAAATCAAAGAGATGAGGTTTGGATGAGGCTAATTCTGATCAATCAGATCGGATCACTTTGGATCGATTGCTTCTGCCTTGATCTTTACTGTGAATTTTCTTCACTGCGAATTTTACACTCTGAATTTTGACTGTTGAATTTAAAGGCTTGAAAATATTTTTGCTGAATATTTACATTGAAATTTATACACTGAATATATACACTTTAAAATTTCAGCAAACAAAAATTCATAATAAAAATATTTCAAACACGTTTAATCAGAGTAAAAAAAAATTTTAAGTGAGAAATTCAACAGCATTTAAAATTCAAAATCTGATGAAAGAAATTATCTTCCATATCTTTCCAAACGTCGTCTTGGTTTGTGATGTGAGCGCGAATAGAACTTATAGGGACATAAAGCCGCACAATGGTGTTCGCTGTGAACAAGGGCAGGGCAGTTTCACTCTAAAACTCCTCCTTTAGGGCTGGACTCTTAACTCAGAGCAGGAGAAATGTTAGTGCCTCAAGCCTGCTCCATCAAACTAAACATGGCTTCTGCATTCCTGAACAGGCCTTCACCAACAAGCAATAAGCACCTCCAGTGTCATCTCTTATACACACTTGTGCATGTGTTTTTGTGACAGGCCGACACTCGTGCACTGTTTGTAAAGGGCCTAACTAGGGATGGGCATTCGATGAAATTTTCTTAATCGATCGTCGGACGACTTAACGATCGATTATCGATTAATCATTAACGTTTTTATATTAAAATTGATCATCATTATTATTACTATCTGCACTACTAATCTGCATAAATAAACTCAACTTTACGACATATAAACTAACCACTCTAGAGCCACATCAGCTGTTTGACATTATAATGTGTTATAACGAAACTTAAAACCACATCGCTAATTTGCATAAACTAAGCGAAGATAAAACTCCAGCTCTTGTGTCGCTGATGTGGTTCAACTTGTGTTGGATTAAAAGACATGACTCAGGTGAATACAGGTTAGTGTGACCAGATTTTTGTCAAAACCAGGACACCGTATGGGGGGGGGAGGTGGGGACTCGTCATCGAGCGACTCTCACCTGACAAAACTTTTTAATGTTTTTCGATGTCCTGGTGAAACTTTTTCCCACTGGACACCAAAACATATTTGCTGCTTTGTACACTGTGCACATGGACTCACACTTGTCCTGACTGGAACGGAAAGCGTGAAATTCCTTGTACAAGTTGTCGTTAAGTGCATTTGCACTTCGGTACGTTGCAGACTGACCCACTGTTTGTGTCTCACTCCTTCTGATGCAGAGACACATGTACAGACCCTGTTTGGTCACACTACACACAGCAACATACATTCGGTTTGTCGATTAAAATTAACGTAATCGATGAAATTCTTAATGATCAATTATCGATTAATCGACTAACCGTGCCCATCCCTAGGCCTAACACGAGCAGTGACTCCTGCAGGGGCCCGTCTCCTGTTCCCTCCTCAGTGTAGGGACCAGAGACACGTCCTATACCAGGCTCATTCACAACACAGCAGGGCAAGAATGAAGACGCTTTCAGGGACGGCTTTTCTTCTTATCCTGGACAAAAGTTTATATTACCTTAAACCATTTTTACACATTACCAGTCAAATGTTTGGACACACACTCTCAATGTTTGTATTTTGAGGTTCTTGACATTCTGCATTTTAGATACACACTGAAGACACAAAATCTATGGAATTTTATTATGGAATTATTTATTCCAAAGTTGAAACTATCTGTTGTGCGTGTTGTCGTTTGCTTTGTTGTGTTGCAAACCCTTGGCCTTCACAGTGGGAGCGCGTCTATTTTCACTCAGCCCTATGTTCCCACATTTCCAAGTTGTTGTTTTTTTTCCCCCAAAATTAGGCCCTGTGTCGCCACATTTCCTTTACCATCAATTTGCATCAGATTTGATCCCCATTTCTCCCAATTTGGTCTTCAATTACACCCAAAGGATCCGAAGTTGAAATGACTGAATCATCCCTTTAAATGTGGTATAAAAATAAAATGACTTGACTTAAGACTTTCATTTTGAGAAAAATCTTAAAAATAAGAAAAAATCTTTGAAATGAGGGAACAGAGAGCTGTGGGACCATTGGGCTGACCCCCTTTGAGTGAGCTTCATGATCCCAGAAATGGTTTTCACTTCGCAGCTGTGCCACTTCAGGATCCAGAAATGCCAAGAGTGAAAGGCCGTGATCAGAGCTGAGGGTAGTCATTTTTGTAGCTATACATCTAAAACAGAATGTTGAGTTTTGTTGTTTGCTACAGTTCACATGTGTCATTCATAGTTTTGATGCCTTCAGTGAGAATCTACAATGGAAATAATCTTAGAAATAAAAGAAACTCAAACTTTTGACTGGTCATGTCTATTTTTGGAATTTCAAACCGTTCCAATGTTTGTGGCACACGTTTCTTCTTTAATTTAATTCTGATGACTAGTTTTTAAATATTTATTATTATTAGAGGATTATGTATTTTCCGTTATCACAGTAAGATTTATTTTTATGCTCTGTCTTTGCTCGTATTTGTCAAATGTGCCGATGCCAGCGAGGTCACTGTTGAACATGTACTTTAAATAAAACCATAGACCCTCTCTCTAACAGATAGCACTTCTGGCTCCAACAGTCATAAGTCTCTTTTCAAACTTTCCTATAATGACAGATTTATGTACAATATTGATATAGAACATAACTTAGTACACAAAAAGCCTTTTCACAACTGAACACAAATAAACTGACAACGAAGCCAAAAGCAAATCAGGCAAATCAACAAAATTAAATAGACATTTGTTGATAAATATTATGCCAAATATAGTTCTGTCCTCTCTCCCTCCCCATGCTCCCGGCGTAAAAAACATTTGAGAAAAAGTGGATTCTCCGGCCACCGTCGCTGAGTTAGGCTGAGCACCAGTGCTAGTGTCTTGGTTCGTACAAAAGTAGAAATGTGGTTTCTCCTGGAGGCTTGCTGGGCGGGGGGCGCAGGGACCTCCGGTGGTCGGGTACCTCCAGGGCCCGCTCGCTGCTGGACGTGGTTTTTGCATAAAGAGGTTTGGGGCACAGTCGGCGGCCGCTATGGGGGCTACAGCAGGTCCATTTTGGGTCTGTAGTGGAGCAGGAGGGGCGACTTCTAGAGAACACAAAGAGCACAACTTCAGACAGAGCAAACACGTGCAGGCCTACTGGTATTTCTAACTTCAGTGAGTGAGTGAGTGGTTATGTCATGTTCAAATGTGTACAGATTAGACTAAAGTTAATGATTTAACTGTTACTTGCAATCATTGAATATTACCATATTTTTCAGACTATAAGTTACACTTTTTTCACGGTTTGTTTTTTTCCTGTGACTTATATATTAAAATGTTCACACTAACAGTCACGAGAGGTTCTAGTCTTGTGTGTGAGTATCTGCTGCTCCTGTACCACTGTCACTTCACTCTACTGCACATGTCTCCTGCAGAAAGAGCCTCTGTCCTGTCTGTATCATGTCAGTCGATCGCACCATTACTTCTGCACCACTGAACAATTTAACATTTAAACAAACTTATAAAGACGACTGAGAAGACTGAACACAAATGCCCCCGAAAACAAAATCAGATTTTGCAGATTACAAACTGAAAATGAAAATCTGAAAGTGAAATCTGCAGCTGAAAATGGTAATTGAGCAGTAGAAAGAAAGTCTGGAGTGAGCCAGGAACGCCAGCAGGGTGTCACAAGTGACCATGCAACTTTCCTGAAGTCACTGGATGGATGGACAAAGTCTGGACTTCAGTGACACTGAAACCATCCTGTCTGAATAATTCTAACTGGAACTGATGCTGAGTCTGACGACAGCGACACAGAAGAGGAAGCGGTGCTCTGTTTACCTCCAGAGGTCGAGGCCGAGTTGTTCAGAAGTGACACCGAGGATGAAGAATTGAATGGATTTAGTGATTTGGAGTGAGATGGAGAGTTTGGTAAACTTGTTCTGTTCTGTTGTTTATGTTATAGTTTATCTGAAGAACTGTGAAATATGTGACATTAACAGTCTGTTGTTCTCTCTTCTGTTGTTTTTACTACAAATTGACTTTACACAGGAAATGTCAGTTCCTGGTCTCTGATTTTATCAAATAAATTTCTCCCAATAATGTGACTTATAGTGACAACTTATATAGGTTTTTTTCTTCTTCATTACGCATGTCTGGGCTGGTGCGACGTACACTCTGGAGCGACTTGTAGTCTGAAAAATACTGTACATAAAATTGACTCTTGTGAGCTTTTAGCCATGTTATAATGTTGGTACCTCCTCAAAAACAGACTTGGAGTAGTAGTTTGTTTCATTCACACAATATTTAAGCAACCCTTTATTATTATTAATCTACATCTAGCTACATTTCCAAAGCTCAAAATACTCGGTTCCTCCTTGTAATGTCATGAAGTGGTAGTTTTCCACTTAACAGCTTGCTACCCTTCACCTTTTATTCGGTAAGTTCAGAAAATAGCCACGTATAGGACCTCAAATAGCTATAAATCAAACAGCAGTAAGTAGGATTTAAAGGGGCACTGCACTTTTTAAGGCTGTGTCTCTCAACACAGACAAGGAGGTACTGTTTTAGAAGTATTGATATATAAATACTGTGTACAAATGTGGGTATCGATAGTGTTATGTAAATATCAATACCAATTAAAATATGTACATTTTAAAGCTGGCGTTTAGTACCATTGTGTTTATATCAGAACAGTCACTAGCAGCATTTTGAATTGATCCATCTGTGTCAGGTTATTGTAATACTTTTGAGCCTGTTTTATATACATATATCTGTTGAGCTACCTTGCCCCATAAGGTTAGACAAATATCAAGTATTGGTATAGAAATAAAACCCCCTAAAACTACTTTGTGTCGTAGAGATAAATGCCAAAAACTGGTATTGTCCGTCCTTAGTCCAAAGCCTTTTCTCCATGGAGATGTTTTGCCTTAAATGTTCCCCAAAACGGCACAAAACCTCCTCCTCCCAACCCCAAACCCATGTTCAATGTTTTTGTCAATAAGAATAAATCAGTTTCAAAAATGTATTTATTTTTTTTGCTTTTAAATGTTTTCACGGTGTGGTCCCTCAGTATCTGTCTGAACTGCTCGTACTTCACACGCCCTGTCGTACCTCACACGCCCTGTCGTACCTCACACGCCCTGTCGTACCTCACACGCCCTGTCGTACCTCACACGCCCTGTCGTACCTCACACGCCCTGTCGTACCTCACACGCAGTGTTGGGAAGGTGACTTTTAAAATGTATTCCCCTACAGACTACAGATTACATACCCCAAAATGTAGTTTGTAACGGAATCCATTAAATTACTTAAAGTGAGTAACGTAATCTGAATACTTTGGATTACTTGATTTGCTGTAGAGACAATAAAAAGCCCAGACTTTACTTAACCGTGTTAAAAATATTATTGATAGAAGATGAGCTCTAGTTTAGATTTAGTTTAGACTCAGTTTAAGTCCTGGTTTAGTCCTGATTTAGTCCTGGTTTTAGACCTGTTTTAGACCTGTTTTAGATCTAGTATAGATCTAGTTTAGACCTGGTTTTAGTCCTGGTTTAGACATGGTTTAGGTCTAGTTTAGATCTAGTTTAGACCTCGTTTAGTTTCCAGCAATGAGTGGAATTACTGGAGAAAAAAAAGGGATATAGCCCAAAATGTGAAAACAGGAAAATACCACCATTTATTTCAACAAAGTAACTGTAATCCAATTACCACTCACTGAAACAGTAACTGTAACCGAATACAGTTACTCATAATTTGTACTCTGATTACGTAACTCTGGTACATGTAATCTGTTACTCCCCAACACTGCTCACACGCCCTCTTGTACCTCACACGCCCTCTCTCTCTTGTACCTCCTCTTGTACCTCCAGGTCCGCAGATCAGCCTCTCCTCCGTGTCCCAAACCAGACCAGGAGAAAACAGAGGAGATCAGGCAGTTGCAGTGTCTGTTCCAAGGCTGTGGAATCAGCTCCCTTTGCACATCAAGCTGACCCACTCACTCTCTGTTTTTAAGTCCCTCCTAAAAACTCTTTCTCCTTGACTTTTAACACAGTTCGAGGGTTGACTTTTTACCTGTATTTTTATTGTATTAGGTTTACCTGAACCTGTATTTGTCACCGTTTATCTGTTTGTGTACAGCACTGTGTTGTTTTTAAAGTGCTCTAGAAATAAAGCTGAGTTGAGTTGAGTAGGTAATGTTTATGAATTAAACATCAATCATCTTTAATACTCTACTGCTATACTGATGAGCTGTACCACTGAATCAGCTCCAACATCAGCTCCAGCCTTTACTCCAGACTTTACACAAACGGCATGAGTGAGAGCACCTTAAATCTCCATCGGGTCACGACGACAAACTTGAGCGTGTGGTCCTTCCCCAGGATTTCCTCGTTGCATAAAATGTCCAGCTAAAGGAGACAAAGAGGGTTCAAAACACCACGATATGAATACGGCGCTGCCTTAGACGCTTTATTTGAATTCAAAACGGGATATTGTTACGATCACAGTGAGATTAGAACCACAGAAAGCCAAGTGTACTTTTGGTTATTTATTGATCAACAAATACTCGTAGTGTACAAGTACAGGGACCTAAGACGGGATATTGTTACCTCTGTGTGGCCCAAACCCACAGAGAGAGACAGAGACAGAGGGACAGAGGGACAGAGACACATGGAGACACAGGGACAGAGAGACACAGAGAGATGAGACACAGAGACAGAGAGAGAGAGAGAGAGAGTGACACAGAGACACAAAGAGACAAAAAGATAGAGACAGACAGAGAGAGACAGAGCGATAGAGACGCACGATGATACAGAGACACAGACAGAGGGAGAGAGACACACAGACAGAGAGACAGCGACAAGACAGAGATAGAGACACAGAGAGAGAGACAGAGAGACAGCGATAGAGACACACGGAGATACAGAGGGGGAGAGACACACGAAGGGACAGAAAGAGACAGACACAAAGAGACAGAGAGATGGAGACACACACAGAGACAGAGAGAGACAGAGCGATAGAGACGCACGGAGATACTGAGACACAGAGAAAGGGAGAGAGACACAAAGAGACAAGACAGAGAGATGGAGACACACAAAGAGACAGAGTGAGAGAGACGCACGGAGATACAGAGACACAGAGAGACGGGTGTGTGTGTGTGGGGGGGGGGTGTACCTCGTTGAAGGAGGTGAGGTTGAGCTTTTTGGCGATGAACTTCTTGAGGTGGAGCACGGTGGCCTGAGCCGAGCAGCGGATCCACTTCCTCTTGAGTCCTCTCAGTTTACTGCTGTTACACTCCAGACATATGCTCACCTGAAACACACACACACACTGTTAGAACACAACACACACACTCCAGACATATGCTCACCTGAAACACACACACACACACACACACACACTGTTAGAACACAACACACACACTCCAGACATATGCTCACCTGAAACACACACACACACACACTGTTAGAACACAACACACACACTCCAGACATATGCTCACCTATTGTGTATTGTGAAACACACAATAACTGCTTTCCAACAACACACAAACATCTCTGCTCCTCGACCACTAAAATATTCACTAACTAATATTCACATCTTGCCCGACTACAGATACACTGCAGAAGCAACTCCTTCAGGGTGAAAACTGTTAAACTGTTTTGGGGTTTTTTTGCACTTTGACGGAGCAGCTCTGAATCTCATTATACTGTATAATGACAATAAAGGCTTTCTGTTCTATTCTATTCTACAATGAGACCAGTGTGTGCCGTCTGCATCCAATTACAAAGTGTTTTACTGAGTGAGAATCTAGAAGTGTGCTGATTAGCATGCTAGTTGTGCTTATAAACTCATCGCAGTGAATATTCAGGATGCTCAGAACGCACAAGGTAAGCGAGGAATAACTTTGGAACACTGCAAACTGTTTCAAATGAACTAGTCAAGTAGAGCGCTTTAAAGTGTGAATTTAAAATGGAATGGGTCAAATAAGATAAATAAGACGACGCACATGCTCCTTTAATAGAACACAGACTTAAAGCAGCACCTCTCACACTTCGCTCGCTGGTACTACTCCACTTCTTTCAACTGTTTTGTGTCTGTACATTGCGCCCCCATGTGTTTTTCAGACACGTTCAGCTCCCTATTGTTCACTCTCATAGAAATGGTCAGTTTTTCTTTAGAACACGTGTTTGATGTTAACTCATTGTTAAATATCAAGTATTACAAAACATCTGCACAATTTGAATAATGCCTAAAAAGTTCCCACAAACCAAACCAAACAGGATTTAAGCAGGTCTAAGACAGGATCTAAACTACGATTAACCTGGTCAGATTGAGTCCACACCAGGATTAAAGAAAGCTCGTCAAATGATTATATTATCATCATACTTCTACTTAAACTAGTGATGGGCAAATGAGTCGGAGCTCTGGAACACGTCTCGTTCTTTCTGAAACAAATCACTCTGAAGCACTGCCTCGGAGCTCGTCTCGCAGCAGCCGCTCACGTGACTAAAGTGTGGAAGTGTCGCTCCCTCCCCCTACTGCTTCACTCTGTGTGTCAGTCGCTTCAGTGTATCGAAGCGTTTCATTGAAGCACTCTGAACCAATCACAGAGCGGAACATTCGCTGAGCCAGAGTGTTCAGCGCACTTCCATGGTTTGACAAGCGCTAAACTGTTACAGTATTAAAGATGCACCAATATTTCTTAAAAATATTGGGTAGTGAGGAGTATTGTGTGACGTTAGTGGTGATTTTGGCAACTTTTGGCGACTTTTGGCATTTGTTTCATTTTCGATGGCATCTACAAGTGGAAAAAAGTGATCCATGTTTGGGATCACTTTGATTTAATTCCACCTAACAAGGTAACACCTATTTTCTTCTTTACAGCATGTTATTTATGTTGCTCTTTACATATTATTTTAAATCATCATTATTATTGTTGTTATTAGGTACGGTGTCACTCTGCACACAAGTATTGTCTTACACTAACAATACTTCATCGATGCTGAGACACCTGTGTGCCAATGCTTAAATATGTCCACTAGAGGTCAGTGTTTCTCCAAGGCCTCAGACACGTCCAACCATTTCAGACAATATTGCGACTGAGGAGTCAATGCTTCACGAGGCTCCATTCGCCCATCACTAATTTAAACACACTAGTATGATGCCTAATGTGACTACAGAGTCCGCAAAGCCACTATGGTTTTAGGCATCGATAAGTCAATTCTGTAATCGAGTGCAGTACAACATGCTCCGAAGCAACTGCGAGCGCTTTTAAAGCCCTCAGCCTGCAAAAAATAGTCTTAAATTGGATATTTTTGCCAAGAACTTTGTGGAACTGATTTTTAGCAGGTAAATTTAAAAGCAGGGGCAAAGACTGAAGTAATTCCCTGTAATTTGGGGTAAATTACATCAACACATTTTTTTCAAACTCACAGCCCTGTCTTACAACTTTGTTCAGACACTTCACTTTTCACCTCACGTTTTATGTTGCTTCTATAAGAATTTAACTGAAATGGAGAGAAATGTGTCGTGCTTTGTGCATTTTTTGCACTTTTGAATCTACAGACGCATTAGTTCATCAGCTATTTGTGCTCATAACTTAGAGATGTGGGATGTGGAACATTATTGTGAGCCCAGACTGTTTCCAGAGTCTTTGATTTTGCGTCTTACGTGTGTGGTCAGATAATGCGTCTAATTTATGTCTAATGTTTTGAGCTGCCTTAGGACAACAGATGAAATGTAGATACTGTTCTAACCCCAGCATATGTACCCTGAAGCCGTCGCGGACACATTATTACTGTGTCATAACTGAGCTCCACATAAACCTGGCTGCTCTCTGCTGTGTGTGACGGTGCTGACCTGCTCGTCACTGCGGTGGTAGTCATTGTCCTCTTCGGCCTTCTCCTCTCCAGCCTCCTTGTGTCCAGGCTCCTCACACTTGGCCTCCCCTGTGGACAGCAGAGCATCACTCACCGCTCTCTCTCACATTTACAAAGCTCCAGCACAGATGTGACAGACAAAAGAGACAGCGCCAAGCAAGGAACACAGAGAAGAACTGCAAATACAACTGGCCCTGCTCGTAAAAGTATTACCATAGTAACCCATAGTACTGAAGTTAATCACATGCTGATCTCTCACTCTCTGATGCCCTCTGTGTTTGTTTGTGTAGTGGCTAATTATTCATCCTACTTTTGTTCTTCATGTGAATGTGTTGTATGTGTACATTCTCATAGAAAACAAATGAAATGCCCAGGGGCTGAGGAATTAACTTTAAATAGTTTCAAAATGGTCAGTTTACCTACTTTTACATGTGGTTATAAGAGGAATACTCTATTAATAATAATAATAATAATAATAATAATAATAATATTATTATTATTAATAGGAAATTTGGTTATTTTAGTGTTAGATGGTACTGACTGAAAGTGTGTCTCCTCAAGATTGTAACTCATATTGAACTGTGTAAGAAGAAAAAGTTCAATAACATTTTTGGAAGGGAAAACAAATTCTGTTTTGTGTCATTCACATGTTTAACACACAAACCCTGCACATTTAGGCCGAGCTCTTCTCTCAAACAGAAAACACTCCACCTTGTGATGTCATGTTGTAATACAGGAAGTGCTCCACTGTGTTTTTTAAACTCCATACAACTTCACTTGAATCATTTGGATCATTTCAATACTGGAATTTCCAATCTCGACTAAACAAAAGATAAAATGTATCTGTTAACGTGGGCGATCCAGATTTTTCTGTTCCAACACCGATGGCAAAAGGAGAAATTTCATTTGTCAACTGGACAAAAGTTTATTTGATCGAATACGTTTCGCAGCTCAAACCAAATAAACTTTTCAATCAAACTTTTGTCCAGCTGATACACTGAATTTCTCCTTTTGTCATGGATTCTACCTGGACGACAGGGATTTTACACACTTCTAAAACCAATGTCAATACTTTGGCTTCAACTATCTGCTAGCACTCTATATCTAAATACTAATGCAGAGATGAAAATAGAATGTATTCCATGTAAACACAAACCACATAAGCTAAATATGATCCAAATGTTTGTTATTAGGTAATTTTTTCAGAGCAAGAGTTTGTTTTCATATCTGACAGTTTGGACTGCTCCCTGTGCTCCTCAAAGTCACGTGATGTTGCTGTGATGTGTCTGGTCAGCAGATTTATCTGAGGAAGACCGCAGTGAGCAGTCCAAACTATCAGGTATGAAAACAAACTCTTGGTCTGAAAAAAGAACCTAATAACATAAATTATTGGAAGACCAAATGGACCTGATTGGACTATGATCCGTCAGTATGGCGCATGCACCGCTAATACTACCAATCCCAGAATGCTTTGCAAATGTGTTGGCGCATTTTGACTTTTTGTTGGCTTGTGAAAAAAAAAAGCTACAGATCAGCTATAGAAACATTATTTATTTAAAATGTTGTTATTATTTTATATTATGCTTGTTCTGAATTCAATGTTTTAAAAAGAAAAGGTTTAACATTACAGATATCGAAAAAAGAGGAAACATGTAGATGCTGTTAAAAATTTTCAATGAATATTTAGTTTGGCCCATGACCAAGTCTCAGTTTTTTTTTTTTTTATTTTGACTCTCTGTGAATTTGTCTACATCAGGGGTGGTAAACTCAGATTAATAATAAAGGATTACTCAAACACGGGTGAATGAAACAAAACAACTCTATGGTATGTTTCTGACGAGGTAACAACATTATAACAAGGCTAAAAGCTCACAAGAGTCTATTTTGCAGAAAATCTGCCCTTTGAGTGTATTTTAGTAAAATGAGAAGTGCTTTTCTTTTTGAATCTCTTAATACAATGTTTTGGTTTGGCATTCTAAAGCCTAAACCAGGGGTGTCAAACATACGGCCCAGGGGCCAGATTAAAGGTCTAAAGGTGATTTTCTACTAAAATATTTTAATTATATTTTAAAACCTTAAAGGTTGTATAGAGGATTTTCCAAGGAACGAGAAATCCAGCGACTGTTTGTCCTTTTTCAAATGTTGCGCATGCGTTTTTTTTGGTCATCATAATTACAAGGCTACTGCATCTATAATCTATCACTGACAATTTGAAACAAAAAAAAATCCTCCATACAACCTTTAAGACAGAATTAGCAATTTTTCGCACACCATTCACAGTCAAAACCTCTGATGTGTCCGCAGACATACAACTAGAAATAACAGATTTACAGTTACTACCTTTGTGTGCAGGTTTTCTCAATAAGGAACATTAATAAAACAAAGCTGCGCTCGAAGCTGAACACACAAACACTTGAATGACATTCTGAAGATAACAGCTACTCAGGACATGGTGCCTGATACTGATGCACTAAAAGGCTAAAAGATGCCAAGTTTCAGGAGCAAAAAGAAAGCATGACTAAATTCTCTGAATTGCATACAAGTTCATGTTAAAACTTTGTGTTGAAATTGCATTTTTCTTAAAGTTTCAGGTTGTTCATAATATTATAATATTTTCTAAAAGAGTTCATCAATTAAAAAGATTTCTGTAATAGTGTTGTATTTGTGTTTTTCTGCACAAATATTTGAACTTATTGTTATTTCTGGGGTATATATGCCATAAGTTTTCTGAATACGACTGCACATGTTGGATGTGTTCACATGCACGTGGCACAGAGTGGTACCGTTGCGTTGGTCCAGGTGAGTCTTCATGTTGCACAGCTCTCCTTTAATGTCTCCAGGGACCTCCATGCCCAGCTTCTGATAGAACTCCCTCTGCTTCTTCAACTCCGCTGCACAAACAAACACCAGCACACAGGACGTCAGCAGGAGAGCGCAGGAGGACAGGGACATGGGGGGAATGCGGCGAGACTAAGTACTCGGGATGTATCGATATATCGGACCAGTATCTGTATCTGCTGATATTTTACATGATACAGTAATATCAGCAAAGATCAGATACAGATACTGGTCCAATATCACTGCATCTCTACTATTTAAATTGTCAGCAAATAATATGTGTCACCATGGGAACTGCTAAACATTTTGCCAAAGACATCCGTATCCGATACTATACCGTATCCGACATCCGATACTATGCAGTATCAACAGGTAGTGTTTTGTGAGTCTCTTTTAAAAGCCACTGCAGCACTGTGGCACTGTTCCATGTGAAAGTGTCGTTTCAGCTCTGCAGTGAACTTCCCACTAGGATTTTGTGAATGGAAAAGAAGCAGAGTTGGATGTGGGCTCACCCTCCTGCAGTCCTGGGACCAGCTTGTAGACGATGTCCTGCATTGTTCTGTCATGGCTGCAGACATACACACATCACAAACTCAGTGTCACATCAACACCTACATCCACTTAGGCTTCAGTTTAGGACACATGCAGGTTTTTATGCTGCACATTAAAAGGACGCCATGTAAGGTTTTCATTTTACATTTCATGAACTTGACCTGTGCTCCCAGACACAAGGCAAACTTTTGAATATTTCATTGTTCCAGTCAAATATTCCTTTAACTGAGAACTACTGTAAAGCTGATTTATTGTAGTGTAACAGGTCAAACAACTAACAGTCAGGACTATTTACAGATCCTCTCTGCTCAATGTTTCCATTTCCTTTTCACAGCTCATGTTTTGCGTGAGGTGTGGATAATTTGAAAAGGGTTTACTGGGATGGCATACAATACTCCGTATATGATCATGACTTCAAAATATCGCACTTTATTCTTTTAATTTTGTTCATTCTTTTCCATTCTTTTTACCTACTATTAAAGACACTGCAAACTGCCCTTAATTACATTTGTACTGAAATGTTCTCTTATTCTAACAGTTTATATTAGAATGACTTTTTTTTTTTTTTAAAACAGTGTTATTTATTTAATTGCACCAAAAGTCAAAACCCTGTTTGCCAGTACAAAAATCAGTAGCAAACTTGTTTCATAATCATCTTTGATTTCACTATTTTGCCATTTTTTTAAAATATCGATTATTAAAAACACAAATGAATGTGAATAATTGCCCAGCTCCAACTGTGATGAGCCTAAACGTCACAGTACAGGGGCCACACTATGTAGTGAGGTGGTGGCACCTGCTGGACACTTGATGTACTACAATATTCCACTGATTTACTGTTTGGAATGTTGAGGATTTAGTTTGATAGGGATTCAGTTCCATTTTAACTGATTCAATTTACTTTTAGTACTTTTCAAAGTACTTTTTACTTATACTATTACACGTCATTGAAGAGTCTGGATTACGGGCACACGTTTGCACCTTTATTTAGAAGGACAGTCCGACAGACAGAACACAATGCTTCTAATCACAGCAACAGGGTTCAAACAGCAGCATCACCAAACTGAGCTCAAACATCCACACACTGTTTACAGGGACTTCATTTAGATCTCACATCCACTTTGACCTTCATCTGAATCATCTGCTGAACACGTCTGAACTGGATATTCTCATTTCTGTACAATGTTATGTGGGTAAGTCTGTGTGTGTGCCTGTGTGTGTGTGTGCGTATATGTATATATGTATATGTGCATTGTCATTGTCAGTTTGCTTAGGTCAGACTCTACTTACACTCGTATGTGAGCCTGATGTGTGTACTAAACTCAGTACTTTGTGTGGTACACAGTGTGTGCGGTACACAGTGTGTGCGTGCGGTACACAGTGTGTGCGTGCGGTACACAGTGTGTGCGTGCGGTACACAGTGTGTGCGTGCGGTACACAGTGTGTGTGTGCACTCACCCGATGTACTGCAGAGGGTGGCTCTGGTGGATCACGATGCGACACGTGGGACATGTGTTGTTCTCCTCCAGATACTTGACCAGGCAGCTGCGGCAGACTGCACACACACACACACACACACACAGACACAAACACATACAGAAAGACACAGGCACACACACACACACACAGACAAACAAACACGCACACACAGAGACGCAGACACACACACACACAGAAGCAGACGCACACACACAGAAGCAGACGCAGACACACAGAGACACAGACGCAGACACACAGAGACACAGACGCAGACACACAGAGACACAGACGCAGACACACACACACAGAGAAGCAGACGCAGACATACACACAGAGAAGCAGACACACACACACACACACAGACGCAGAAGCAGACACACAGACACACACACACAAGAATAACCATCAGTATTTGTGTCAGACATATTTGGTCAAGTGTAAAGGACAGTAACATGCAGAGCGGGAGCTTCCTAAACGCAGACGACACAAACTGCAGCTCAGGCCCCCGACTCCCGACTCCTGACTCCACCAAGTCTGATCATGTTTATTTCCTGTTTATCAGTTGATCTACTTGGGTCTTGGCTGCTTCGCTCTTTTACCTAAGACCACTGATTAGTCTGGATGCTTATTACGCCCATATTAACAAGTTTATTCACCCGATAATTATTCCATATTAGGTTTATGTCACCCTGCGAACACAAATAAAACGTGAGGAAGTTTTGATGATCATGTATCGGTCCTGATCACATTATGACAAAGACATGGTGAGCCTAAAATATTTACAATTAATACAACAGTGTTAAATGCTGAAAGTACTAAAAGAGCATGTCTAATGTAACAGATAATACTCAATACAACTGTACAACAACTCACCCTTACGTAACAGATAATACTCCCTACAACTGTACAGCAACTCACCCTTATGTTATAGATAATACTCCCTACAACTGTACAGCAACTCACCCTTATGTAACAAATAACCCTATGTCCTGTCAATCATCACATTATTGTTGCTCGGTCTTCCTATGACCTCTTGTATAATTTTTTTAAAAATAATAAAAAAATAATTTTATATTTTATTACTTCAGTTTTTATTTTATTTTTACTGTGCATTTACATATAATTATATCTTATTTGACACCACACTCTTTTTTGCTACTTACTTAGAATTTATTATTACCATTTATATTTTTACTCTTTGTTATTACATTTGTTGTGATGTGTGAGCTACTGTGCCCAAATAATTTCCCTTCTGGATCAATAAAGTTTGTCAAAGTCTAAGTCTATGCTAGAGCATGTTTAGAGACCTAGTGTGGCACCACCATGTTACATTTTATAGTATTACAAAATCCATAAGAGTAAATGGTTACATTTATATAGCACTTTTCTACCTTTCAAAGCACTGAAATTAAGCCAAATTTTTGCTTAGGGCCTCCTGAGGGTGAGATGCGTGATTTCACATGCAAAACCTGTTGGCCCCTGTGTAGTAGGAGCCACTCTTTCAGTTCCTCATATTTATATTTAGACCGTTCTGACCCATGTAAGACTAAAACTTCACCAGAAGAACACACATACACACGTAGGATGAGTACAGACAGGTACAGGTGGGTGTGAAAGGAGCAGAGGGAGGTACAGGTAGGTGTGACGGGAGCAGGATTTTCTGATAACTGAATGTCATGTGCTTAGTATTTGAAGGGCCCATCTCATGCAAAATAACTCTTTTCACATTGTATCTTCTGCACATATACCAGCACTATTTGGGTTTTTGAACATCCATTACACAGTAGTTCTGAAATCTTACTGATTTCTTGGAGTCAGTCACAGACCAGGAACTATGAAAGGCTGACTATTGTTCATCCCCCCGCCCGTCCTGAGAAAGCACAGGCTCCGCCCTCCAAACGTGACGTAGGCGACGAGTGAGCCACCCTTCCTCCGCCCATCTCAGGGAGGGAGGGGGAGACAGGCGTGCGCCCTGATAGTGGTAGGAATAAACTTTTATTCATCATGGTGATACAGCGTGTTCAGCCGCATGTGTTGGACCCGGAATCGGACGAGGACTTTGAGGAGCACGAAGCTCAAGCACCGCGTCCACATCAACTGAACATTACTGATTGGTAAAGTTTTAATAAACACTAGTAGATCAACTTATTATATCGTGTTCACTGCAGTGGAGAACAATGAGCTTATGCTGTCGCTTTTGTTTACGTGTTCATGTGGGAATTGTCAGCAGATGCGGGGTGGAGGCTGGGCGGAGGCAGTGGCGCGGGGGACGGGCGCGGGTGTGAAGCGCCTTCTGCTACATCAAACGTGTCATAGGTGTATCTGCCGCGTCTTTGTTGGAGCAGCTTTAGTTACGTCACGTGGGAGAGTGGCAGAAATACACTGCAATTTGTTAAAAAAAAAAAGCCAAATCAATCTAAAAACCACTTGGGCGACAAATACAAGGCCCACACATCACTCTTAGAAGGTAGAACGCTCTGAAAAGTTGATTTTGCATGAGATGGGCCCTTTAACTATAGCCCTGTTGATTATTACAAAGTTCAATAGTTTGTAAAATTGCCATGATGAAATACTTAACTTAAAAATCTGAAAAATTCGCAAAAACAAAAGCAAGTCCTGGTCTCAATAGCCTGGTCTCATGAAGTCTCTCCTCCATAGCTCCCCATTCCTCCTTTAATATCGCTGTAGAATAGTGAAAACAGGAGGAGGGGGGACTCATAACTCAATACTCAATAGTACTTTTTATATTCCCATATGTCCTTACGTATATCTATGTGGACCCCCAGTGGTCCAGGTAGGTTCCATAGTGTCCGTTGGCGTGTACTAGTCTATATGCTCTTATATTTGTTCTGACACAACTCAACATCATTGTAAACCTATTCAGGAAAGGTTCATTTGTGTCCTGTCAGTGAACTTTTGAAGTATCAATACCTCAAATGAGTTTCAGTACTGTAAGCAGTGAGGAAATGAATGCAGCAGAAACACTGAAGGAGACAGAGGTAGGGTTGGGTGTGAAGGGACGAGGAGGAGGTTGGGGTCTGTATACTTACAGGTGTGTAAGCACTCTGTGACCGTGGTGGCGTCGATCAGGTAGCCCTCACACAGGCGGCAGGTGATGTGGGCATTGATGTGACACAGTTTGATCTTCCTGGTCAGCATGTCGGGGTTCTAAAGAGACAGACTCAGGTCACATGACTGTACAGGAGAAGAAATGCTCACATCACTTTATTGCATTGGCTGAAATGTTCCACATCATGACACCAGTCTATCATTTATTAACTAGTGGTCTTAATGGGAACCAGCTGGAAACTCACCCTGAACTGTACCCTTCATGAAACTAAGTTAATCTATATACATTTTTTTTATCATTATATATATATTGTACACACAAAGTTACAATATATCTCAACACATTTGTTCATACCTATTTAAAAAAACAAAACATGTAATATTATGTGGTTTCAAACACACACAAATAGAGTAAATAGAGTGTGTCAATAATCCACAAGTGAAGCACACACTTTATGTAAACTCTGTCAATTTCATGAATCACTCAATGACCTCTATTTCAAGATTTTATCTTAACTACGTGTTTCAATGAAATATGTAAGACGTTCCTAAAAGTGATTCTGAATGATTCTTGAACAAATTCTGTAGCTTTTTAAATTTCTTGTGTTCATGGCAGCAGTAAGGAAATAATTAATATTTCTTCCCAACTCAACAGTTACAGTTGTTATAGGACACGTGGAACGAAAATAATGATTTAAAATATGATTAAAATAGGAGGAAATGAGGATTATATTAATATTACAAACTGAAAAAATGTCAGTAAAATGACAAACAAGGACCCACATTTGGTCTGATACATTCACATTTCATTTTATTATGATTAGGGCCCGACCAATATGGATTTTATTGCAGCCGATATGATACCGATAAAATGTTTTGGAGATGCCGATAGCCGATAATGTAAAAATTCACTGTAAATCTTGAATTGTTTAAAAAAACTTGGCTCTGGTGGATTTTAAATTAGGTTTAAAATGTATTGTTATTCTGTCTCTTTATGTCAGATTTACAGACAGTAGGTCGGCCTAATGGCATTTTTATATCACATTCTAGCTACTAGTGATGCGTATTCCAATTCTTTTTAGAGAACCGGCTCGGCTCCCTAAAAGCAGCCGGCTCTTTTGGCTCCCAAGTGACTCTTCAGGTTTTGCTGCAAGCAGGACTAAAGCAGAACTGAACCAGGACTGAGTGTCGGGACTCGGTCTCTCTCTCGAGCTCACGATTAGTGCTGGTTTATTTATTTTATGCACATGCAGATTTCTCAGTTTCGTTTTCGGCCGCTGCCGCTGCCAAACTCCCACGAGTCTGCACACGACGTGAAGAGAAAAAAAGTGAGAGAAAGAGAAAACACGGCTCCCAATAACGATCAGGCTCCCGTCGTTCGCTTCAAAGAGCCGGATTTAAGAGCCGATTCGTTCGCGACCTACCCATCGCTACAAGCTAATAAAACAAACTACCGCTATTAGCCGTTAGCCGTAAGTGCTGCGCGCCGCGGTAATTAATTATATGTGAAAATGTCATCATTCACACGTCTATTCACATCTAATTTACATATCAATGCAGATCCAGTAACAAATATACGGTCAACATAGTCACTTTACAATAGGCCAATAGAAAACAGTCTGTTTATGTGTTGGAGCTACAGCAGCTAACCCATAACAAATGACCAAAACTAGCTTCAAAATCAACACGTTTCCAACACTCAGCCTCAAACAGGCTCCTCCTCACATCACAAGTCTGCACTAACAAATGTTTTAATACAGAATCAAACCGACTGTCCGTAAAAAGAAAATCATCTCACGTGTTTGCGGCAGTGCGCGTTGAGTCGACGCAGAACTATACTTCAGCCGTAACTCAGTACAACACAGTAATTCAGCGAAGTAATTCACTGCCAAAACACTAGGGGGCGACGATATCTGTCCATTCATATATACGGTCTGTGTGTTTGACGTATAATCTCTGAAAAGTTTAACATGAACCATCTCTAGCGCGATAAAAGCACAGAACAGACTCACCATTAGTACAATATTCCTCTGTCACAGAAAGAACACGCATATTCCACTGAGTCATGTCCTTTTTAAGTCCAAGAGAAGCTGACCGTGTACCAGGAGCGAGCTGTTTTATGAGCGCTTTGTTTATGTAAGTTAGTGATGCGTTAGTCGTTTCGTTTCTGTAAAACGTAAACTCATATGCGCAAAGCTGCATTAAACACATTATTTCTAAATATATACTGAAAGAAAGAAAAGCCGACAGGAAATGTCTGTAGTGCGGTGGTACGGAGGACCAATCACAGCTCTTATCGTCTGCGTCGCTCCGCCTGCTGTCTGCGTCGTTTTGACGCGTAGTTAGAACATTTCAGAGGTGCACTTCGGTCAACGCAGAGGCTCTGCGTAGGGGATACGCGCCGACACAGATTTGACGCTGGACCGTAAATTGGCCTTAAAGACTGTCGAGAAAGTCCCTCTCCCGGGCACAGCGGGTACCCGAGTGATGCCCAAGAGAAGGGGGCGCCCAGAGAGACGCACGTTCCCGCAGAGAGAATGGGACGCTCGAGCTGGTATTCATTTTAATGCTCAAAAAAACCAAAAACAAAACTTGTTTGCCTTTCCACAGATCTGACCTGAAACTTGGTTTGGTGGTGTTGCACCAAACCAAGGTTTAATGTTAGGTTAAATGCCAGACTCTGGAACATCTGTGCAACATCTCCATGAAGACAAGCGGGTGACAGACCCTCTTGTTTCATGTTTAAATAACCTATATTACACAGAATTGACTTTTGTGAGCTTTAAGTCACAAGAGTAGGGATGTAACAATAACCAAAATACTGTGATATCATAAAAAGTGTCCCAATAATATCGTGGACTGTCACATTATATCACATTACAAGTTCTTTTGCTTAAATGTTTTGTATTAAATTGTTTTATTGTAGCAAATGCTAATAAATAAACATGGCGCACTACATATCCCATGATTCATTTCAGTGCAGACAACATGAAGAAATGTGTTTTACTTGCATTCTTGGGATTATGACAGTAATAATTCACACCAAAATCTTGTGAAGGCATTTTAAAAGGAGAAACGTATCCTATCTGCAATTATATGAGCCTGTTGTGATGCCATGAAGTGGTAGTTTTCAAGTTAACATAATACCTTTAACTTTAGTTCTGTAGAGATTGGTAATTCCAGGGCTGAAACTATGCAAAATATTCTAGTGAAAGTGTATGGAGGTTAAAAACACAGTAGAGCACTTCCTTTATTACAGTATGACATGAGAAGGTGGAACAGCTGAGTATTTTCCATTTGAGAGAAGAACTCCAAAATCAAAATCCAGAATCTGCAGAGCTTGTGTGAATGGAACAAGACTCCAGGTCTGTTTGTGATGAGAAAACTACATTTAAATATGGATCTGAAAATAGAGTATTATGAGTATTATTATGAGTTAAATGAGCACAATGTAACTTTTTAGGGAGAGGGTCTTGACTTATTTACTTACTTACTTATGGGGTCTAAACTTATTTATCTTCATGGAGACAAGCAGGACGGTGATGAATCCGTGTATTATTCGTTCATGTTTTTCAAAATAAAACCAAAAATAAGAAAAAAAAAACAACTACTTTATTCATTATTTGTCTCCAAAAAAAAACACAAAAAAAAAAAAAAAAAAAAAGAATAATGGTTCTTTTTTTTTTAGTTTCAGTGTTTAAGTGAATAATGGAAAAAAACGGATAACGGCCATTTCCCGTTTCTGTGACTTAAATTGCAATGCTGGACTAAACCAGGACTGAACCAGGACTGAACCAGGACTGAACCAGGACTGAACCAGGACTAACCAGGACTAAACCACGGCCCCGCCCACACTAGTTCATATTCAAGTCGTTTTCGTTGTGGATACAGTGTTCATTCACACTAATCCGACTGAAAACGGCTCCAGAGACGGAACGATCTGGTGGGGCCAGCTCCCACGAATTCATCTGAGTACAGATCTGATCCACCACTGTGTGCACGCCTGAAAACGCTGATACGCTGATGTAGTTCTAAGCACCGTGAAGTAGCTAATTCAGCGCCAAAACGCTAAGAATCAAGAATATATGTCCATTCATATGATCGTACGCATAGACCCGTATAATCTCTGAATAGTTTAACATGAACTATCTCCAACAGATAGAAGCACAGAACAGACTCAACATCAGCAGAATACCCCTGTCACAGAAAGAACACTCATATTCCACTGAGTCCTTAGTGAGCTGGTTTTTTGAGCACATGGCTAGTTTATGCAAATTAGCCATGTGGTTTTAACGTTTCCCTTCTGTAAAACGTAAACAAATATGCTCAAAGCTGTGTGGACAGGGACACAGAAACGAGTCAGTCCTCACTCTGAGCCGCTTATGCTTGTCTTAAATCCAGTGTTAGGCTAAGTAACAACTAAACCTCATCGTCGGTCCACAAAAAGACTGTTTTTACACTTGCCTCAGCTCAAAATCAGCTGCTGCAACTTCAGACTTCCTTGTTTTCACCGCTCACATGACATCGGGATGTCGTGACGACGTGACACCAGCCTATCACGTGACTAGCTTTTCAAGCGGTTTTGCATTACCGTGTGGACAGGGAAGGCTTTGATTGCGGACACAGAAACGACGTGTCTGGACGCAGATCGTTTCTGATACGGTGATACAGTGATACGCGGATTTGTTTCAATATAAACAGGGTCTAGGTCTACACCAGGACTGAACTGGGACTAAACCAGGTCTAAACCAGGACTGATCCCACAACTGAACAAGTACTGAGTGTCAGGACGGGCTCGGAGGTGCATCCACGTAGACCGTGGGGTGACCGCAGGAGAAAGGACCGGCACAGGGCTCTTGCACTTTGCAGACACCCTGCTCTGTGGGCTCGAGGCTCTCTCTCTCTCCAAGTCCAAGATTAGCCCTGGTTTGGTCCTGGTTTGGTCCTGGTTTGGACCTGGTTTGGTCCTGGTTTGGACCTGGTTTGGACCTGGTTTGGTCCTGGTTTGGTCCTGGTTTGGTCCTGGCGTAGTCCTGGCGTAGTCCTGGCATAGTCCTGGCATAGTCCTGGTTTAGACCTGGTTTAGACCTTAGACCTGGGTTAGACCTGGGTTAGACCTGGGTTAGACCTGGTTTAGTCCTAGTTCATTTCTGGTTTAGTCCTAGTTCAGTTCTGGTTTAGTCCTAGTTCAGTTCTGGTTTAGTCAGTTCTGGTTTAGTCCTAGTTCAGTTCTGGTTTAGTCCTAGTTCAGTTCTGGTTTAGTCCTAGTTCAGTTCTGGTTTAGAGCTGGTTTAGACTTGGTTTAGTTCTCCTGGTTCAGTCCTGGTTCAGTCCTGGTTCAGTCCGGCATCACAATTTAAGTCATGTAAACGGGAAACATCCGTTATCCTTTTTTTTTTCATTATTCATTAAAACACAAAATCGAAAACTGAAAAAACATATCATTATCTGTTTTTTGGTTTCGAAAAACTGATAAATGAATGATACACGGATTGTGACATCACCAGGACACGTTACAAGTTACACTTCGACTTTATTGATCCACAAGGGAAATTACTTCGGCACAGTAGCTCACGCATCACATTAAAATAACAAAGCATAAAATAAATATAAAAATGTTAAGAAACCATCGACAAGTTACCATTTACAAGTCATATCTAGATGAATAATTATTGCTGTGGTGACACTTCATAATAAAACTTAAGAGTAAAGAATTTCATATTTTTAGATACAGTAATGTTGTTTTTTTTTATTCAAAAACACACTATATGATTTATTTTTCCAACATGGCATTTAAAAGAGCCCATATTTTCTGATCTATCTTATAATGTAGTTTCCTCATCGCAAACAGACATGGAGCTGTGTTTCGTTTCCTTCACACATGTTTAACACAGAAATCCTGCAAGTCATGTGGTGATACAGGAAGTGCTCCACTGTGTTGCTAAACTCCACACACCTTCACTAAAATCATTTAGATCATTTCAGCTCTGAACAAAAGCTAAAAGGAGCTGTTAACTTGAAAAGTACCACTACATGACAACACAAGTCAACAGTAAATTTTACATAATATAGGACCTTTAAATTTTATTATTTTACCAACTCCAATACACTAATTCTCAATACATAAAATCTCAATAAATAAATTCTCAATACATCAATTCTCAATAAAAAAAATTCTCAATAAAAAAATTCAATAAAATCAATTCAATAAAATCAATTCTCAACAAAATAAATTCTCAATAAATAAACTCTCAATAAAAAATTCTCAATAAAAAATGCTCAATAAAATTAAATTAATTCTCCATCCATCCATCCATCCATCCATTTTCGTCCGCTTATCCGGGGCCGGGTCGCGGGGGGAGCAGCCTAAGCAGGGACTCCCAGACTTCCTTCACCCCAGACACGTCCTCCAGCTCCTCCGGGGGGACCCCGAGGCGTTCCCAGGCCAGCCGAGAGACATAGTCCCTCCAGCGTGTCCTGGGTCTTCCCCGGGGCCTCCTCCCGGCGGGACATGCCCGGAACACCTCCCGAGGGAGGCGCCCAGGATTTTTTTAAAGGCAAACTCTAATCTGTCTTTATAAAAATGCATTGTTTCCTAGTCCTTTTTTGTATATATAGTAGTTTTTGCATAAACTCCCCCTGCAGGTGTAAATTAATTCTCAATAAAATAAAAAAAATGAAATAAATAGAAATGGTTCTCAGTATTGATTTCCTGAAAACAAACAAGACGGACTTTTAACTTGTGCCATTTAGCACAAAAATTAAACACATGTCTTGTGTCTGATCCAAACCACATGGTGTTAGTGACAGGACTGGCTCTAGACCTCCCCTGAAAACTGACTCACAGTCTCTTTATGAACTGCCCAGCTCTTCTGAGAACACTCAGTTGACCATGGAGATGTTATTGTTTTCCCAAGAATTGGTCCTTTTTCAGATTCTAAAATGTGATGAAGTCAAACTCACATTTTTTTCCTATTGATGACAGTATTTTATCTTAAAAGATCAGTTCATTCACATTGAACCTGATCATCATACAAAATAAAATGCATTTTTAAAATCAAAACATCTGTAAAATGAAATGTGACATGTGACAGCAGCAGAAAAGAGAAGTGAGTGCATGAGTAATCTGAAGATTTTTTTTAAAGGCAAACTCTAATCTGTCTTTATAAAAATGCATTGTTTCCTAGTCCTTTTTTGTATATATAGTAGTTTTTGCATAAACTCCCCCTGCAGGTGTAATCTGGGTCAGATACACATGGGTCCGGTCAAGTGGTAACGGAGGGAAACAGGGGCAGATTTCTGACATTCAAATGTCTCTTATTCAGAAACTAGAGGGACTATTGAAATAAGTAAAGTATCAGAATGTAGGAAAGAGTTACACTCCAACAGGGTCAAGTTAAACCTGTGATATTCTTTCAAGTTGTTGACAAAAAATTTTAAAAATCATGTCGGTAACAGAGGGAATGAAATATGCAGCACTTTCTGGGCAATAAATCCAAACAGTGATAACTCTTGGTTCTCACTTACATATCCTTAACAAACTGGTTTGAATATTTGCTTCATATAGTTTTCTACCATATGGTACAAGATTAGGTTGAAAAACCTCTTACTTTTTGACTCATGAGATTTTTTATTAAGAAAGGTCATGGTAACGGAGGAAAAATTGTACAAACAAGTAGAAGGTGCAGGATTTTACATCATTTGTCGCTTTTTTCTTCTGAATACTTTAATATTACTTCAAAATGAAAGGAAACTATTTCTATAAAATATGTCAGTCCTTCCAAGCAAATTTTTATCATTTTAAATACTTTTTTTTTTATTTTTATCATGTACCTTCATCAATAGTTCAAAGATGGAATAACACAAGATATGATGAAATACATCCATTTATTGACATGATTTGCAGGTCTTTGAAATTTGGGAAATAATTTTTGTTCCATGTTTCATACATGGTCTGTTTAAAACGTATGGAACTTTAGAACCAAAAATGGTACAGAAAAAAGGTCAACAGTTTCATAAACTAGAGTACATATGTATCTGTTCAATACTTTTTTATATCAGATGCATTAACTTGAATTTTTGGCCTTGTTGTTTACTTCTGCTTGACCGGGCCCACAGATAAACAGAATAGTTTTGAGAGCTTTTGCTACATCCCCTTTTAGTCGACCAATCAATCAGCAAGACATGCTGTTAGTCCAACATCAATTGCGTTAGTCGACTACAGACCAAGTAGTGACAAGATTCCTGAAAAATCAATAACATCTCCATGGGGACAAGCAGGTAGGAGACCCCATTTCAGAAAATCTACATAGTGTGCCTTCAAAAGAACACACTCCAGGAGGAAACCAAGCCCTAAACTCTTACTGCCCATGTCAGTGATTTCACTGAGACATTTGCTGGTCAGATTAGAAAAGCCTCTAAACATGTGCTGATGTGAGTGTGGCTCTTACCCCTAGCACCGCCATGCGTGGGCTGTGGGGGGCAGCAGAGGTCCAGCCTGGTTCAGCTCCACATCCTCAGGAGCCTCTCATGGGGCCCGCACACACACAGGTCTCTGCTGAGTCCTGCTCTGTCCTGTGCTGTCCTGCAGGAGACACAAGAGGGGACATCTTACAAGTCTGACACAAGACAATACAAGCATTGTACAAGCAGGCCTGTCACAGTTTATGATCAGGGAGTCTCTAATCATAAAACACATCATAAAAATCTGAATAAATCATTATCATCATAAACAGATGGATCAGTGGGTCTCTAATAGGGACCCACCAACTGAGCTTTTCAAGATACTCAAAGACAAACAAAACAAAGGCAAACAAAAGAAATAAGACAGTTAATGAAAGGTGCTTTTAAAGAGATGGGTTTTAGGGCTTTTTTTTTTTTTTTAAACATGGAGCGTGTAGAGGAGCCTCTGATGTGTTTGGGGAAGGAGTTCCAGAGGGTGGTCCTGGTGGGGGGGACAGGAGGGTGGCGTCAGCTGATCGGAGGGCACGGGTGGGGGTGTGGTGGTGGAGGAGCTCACAGAGGAAGGTGTGTCTGACAGGTTATGAAGGGACACAACGGTAAAGGATCAGTATTGAGTTTCAGTCACTACTGATATCATGTCAACACTCACTATCAGCTGATCCCAGTGTAAATACTCAAAAAGGCAATGTATTTTCATCAAAACGTCGATTTAAGTTATTTATCCAGCAAACAACTGTTGAAAAACCTCAAACATTATGAAACATTCAAAGCCCACATTAGCCAGTAAACTCTTATTACATCCAATCAAAAGCCCAACAAGGATAAGGGCTGAACCAATATCATGAAACCAATACCCCAATTTGACTGGGTCTGCAACCCTAAGCAATACTAAAACTTCAAATTCTATTCTGATACTAAGGAATACATTCAATACTCAATACCTAATGTGATACCATAATAATAATTTTTAAAAACACTCTTGATTTAGACAACAGAAAGTGATTTTCTGTCCCCATGTGTGTTATATGTGTGTAATCATCAGTGGTGCAGTAGGTTCACAGTGGCCCATGTGTGTATACTAGTCTACGTGCTTTTCTACTTGTTCTGACTAGGGGTGTGCAAAAATATTGGAAAATCGATATATCGTATCGTTTAATGTGATGATACAGTATTGATATCGTGGGCTAATGTATCGATATATTTCACCAAGAGTACTTTTAGGTGTGTTTTACTAAATTATATTGTTACAAAGCTACAGTTTTGTTGCTTGTGGAGTGAAAGGAAACTCATTTATTCATCACATTTGACATTTTCACTCTTTTAATGATTAAAATGATTGTGTTTCATATGAACTTTGCACAAGTGGTTTGACAAAGACTTTTAGGCTACGTTCAGACTGCAGGGCTTAACGCTCAATTCCAATTTTTTTGTGAAATCCGATGTTTTTGCGAGGTCGTTCACATTTCCAATTAAATGTGACTTGTATGTGACTCCAGTGTGAACATTAAACGGCCCAAAAGTGTCCCACATGTGACACTGGAGACACAACGACGTCTGTGTTTACAGAAGTTGTCCAAACATGGACGCAGCATCGAGCACCTGGAGATTTTAAAGTTCCTCTCGTACCGGAGCCAGAACATGAACAACTTACTTGTTTTAAGGAGGAGATTGAGAAGGAGAAGGACGAGGTTTTTGGTCGTGGTGTTTGTGGGACAGCGGCAGCGACGTCTGTTGAAAGGAACGTGTGGATGTGGAGACGGAGCCAAGAGTGGTGAGTGGTGATGTGCTTCACTTCAGTGACACGGAGTTCATTAACAATTTTCACCTACTTCAGCGCAGAATAGTGACGTTTGTGTCTTGTTGATAACGTGTAGGTGGATGAATGCACTTTGACCGTTCAGACTGAAGTCACATGTCAAAAGATCAGATATGTATCGGTTTTAGGAGCACATATCCAAGTGTCCTGGGTCACATTTGAAAAAATCTGATCTGTGTCGTTCAGACTGTCATTAAAAGATCAGATACATAGATGCCAAAAAAAATCGGATTTGGGTCACTTCAGTGTCACAGCCACAATTTAGCCTTTATTTTTTTATTGAACCGTATCGAATCGATTTGAAATATATCATATCGAATCGAAAGTGCACTGTATCGAGATATGTATTGGATCGTGGCCGGTGTATCGAGGTATGCATCGTATTGGCAACTTCTTAATGATACCCAGCCCTAGTTCTGACACACTCAATATCATTTTAAAGACATTCAGGAAAGGTTCACTTCTGTCCTGTGAATGAGACTTTTTGAGTTTAGTCTAGATTCAGTACTAGTTACAAACATGAACTGCAAACAACAGAATGAAACACTTTAGTAGTTTGTTTGTATCTGTAATGAGCAGCAGAAGTGATTTGTCCAACCCTCTACAGCTCCAAACATATTGTAAATAACGAGGGACGCACCGCTCCAGCTTTTTCAGTTTTGATCCAGTTCTCGATATTCTGACTTAACAGACATCAGAGTCAGGACAAAAAACTGCACTTATTTTCTTAAAACACAGTCAGGTTATTACACAAGAGATTTAATAGTGTTGTGCAACTTTTATCTATCCTTGAAATCACTACTGAACAGATTTGTATTAAAGGGCCCATATCATGCTTTTAAAACCATTTCTGATCTATGTTCCAGTGTAGTTTCCTCATCACAACAGACCTGAAGTTGTGTTTTATTTCAGTTACACATGTTAAAACACACAAATCCTGCACATTTAGGCTGAGTTCTTCTCTCAGACTGAAAACACTGTTGTCCCTTGTGACAACATGGAAGTGCTCAACTCCACACACCTTCACTCGAGCACGGCAACACGACTTTACTACACAGCCCTGTCAGCTGCACAAGTGTCACTCGTACGATAAAAACAGTGAATAAATTCACTCTAAAACACACAGCGGATCTGTGCTGATCTTCAGTAAACACTGTGACACAGACAGAAGTTTAGCTGTCCTCACTCCTCCTCCTCCTCCCTCTCCTCCTCCTCCTCCTCCTCCTGTCCTCACTCCTCCTCCTCCTCACTCCTCCTCCTCCTCCTCCTCCTCTCCTCTCCTCCTCCTGTCCTCCTCCTCCTCCTCCTCCTCCTCCTCCTCCCTCCTGTCCTTTCTCCTCCTCCCTCCTCCTCCTCCTGTCCTTACTCCTGTCCTCACTCCTCCTCCTCCTGTCCTCCTCCTCCTCCTCCTCCTCCTCCTGCTCCTCCTCCTCCTCCTCCTCCTCCTTCCTCCTCCTCCTGTCCTCACTCCTCCTCCTCCTCCTCCTCCTCCTCCTCCTGTCCTCACTCCTCCTGTCCTCTCTCCTCCTCCTCCTGTCCTCACTCCTCCTCCTCCTCCTGTCCTCACTCCTCCTCCTGCTCCTCCTCCTCCTGTCCTCACTCCTCCTCCTCCTGTCCTCACTCCTCCTCCTCCTCCTCCTCCTGTCCTCACTCCTCCTCCTGTCCTCACTTCTGTCCTCACTTCTGTCCTCACTTCTGTCCTCACTTCTGTCCTCACTTCTGTCCTTCTCCCTCTCCTCCTCTCTCCTCCTCCTCCTCCTCCTCCTCCTCCTCCTGTCCTCCTCCTTCCTCCTCACTCCTGGCCTCACTCCTCCTCCTCCTCCTTTCCTCACTCCTCCTCCTCTTCCTCCTCCTCCTGTCCTCTCTCCTCCTCCTCCTGCCCTCTCTCCTCCTCCTCCTGTCCTCTCTCCTCCTCCTCCTGTCCTCTCTCCTCACTCCTCCTGTCCTCTCTCCTCACTCCTCCCTCCTGTCCCCTCCTCCTCCTGTCCTCCCTCCTCCTGTCCTCCCTCCTCCTCCTCCTCCTCCCCTCCTCCTCCTCCTCCCTCCTCCTCCTCCCCTCCTCCTCCTCCACTTATTTTCTCAGGTAACAGCGCTGGCTCTCCGTTAGCGGTGGGCGATATCTGGATATTTAAAATACATCGTTGGAGATGATAAACATGTACTGGGACACTTCATCTGAACAATACTCCGGTCAGAGAGTAAATTAGGACAACTGAATATATTTTTGGAGCCTTTAATGTCTCGTCTTCAATCCTTTTAGCTGATTTCGCCTGGTTATCTATAAATACTTTTAAATCATATTACTTACTGAAAATAACTGTAACAGAGTAGTAATAGGTAGCACATAGAATATGAAAGTATATGAACAAGTGTTAAACAATCACATTAACTGTAACATAATATGTAAATCAGCATCTGCACATTTACACAACGATTAGAGAAACAATAAATACTATTTTACAAACCCACCTCTATCACAGACACAGACTTTGATAGGTTATGGGGAATGATCTGAAGCTACAGCAGTCCAGCAGTAACAGTGTTACCATGGTGCTCTGAGCTGCCTACAAAGGCCTGACTAAAATCAACAGTTCTATTAGGGAAGTTACAAGATCTATCGAGATATTTTTTTAAACACAAAATAAACTCTGACATGGGGGGGGGGTATATTAGTATTTTAAATATATCGAGATATTTTTTAAACTCGATATGGATTCTGACATATCGTATATGGGTCCGGTCAAGCAGAAGTAAACAGCAAGTCCAAAAATTCAAGTTAATGCATCTGATATAAAAATGTATTGAACAGATACATATGTACTCTAGTTTATGAAACTGTTGACCTTTTTTCTGTACCATTTTTGGTTCTAAAGTTCCATATGTTTTGAACAGACCATGTATGAAACATGGAACAAAAATTATTTCCCAAATTTCAAAGACCTGCAAATCATGTAAATAAATGGATGTATTTCATCATATCTTGTGTTATTACCTCCGCCAAGGAGGTTCTGTTTTTGCCGGCATTTGTCTGTTAGCAACATAACTCAAAATGTTATGGACCGATTTTGATGAAATTTTCAGGATTTGTTGGAAATGTGAAAAGGAAGAAGTGATTTCATTTTGGGGGTGATCCGGAAGAAATCCTGGATTCTGGATCACTTTGAAATTTTAGTTAACATTGTGGTAAATGGGGCCAAAAATTTTGTTTCTCAATATCTCGGTTAATTATTGACCAAACCCCATGAAATTTGACTCAGGGATGGACAATGGGATCCTCTTTCATATTCCAAAAGCTGATCCGGATC